CTCTAAAGACCTTGTATGACAACGTGTTGTGTGACAAATAACTGTCTTTGTGAAATATGCAAAAATCTTGCGTGTCTATTCTTGTTTACCAACCTTGCGTTTTAAGCGACACTCATTTTTTAAACGTAAAAGTCATGAGTCTTGAATAACCTGTACCACATGCGTAGGCTTAGCTTTTAGGATTCTTATAAATAAAACATCTGCTCACAAGATTAGTCGGTTAGATTACAATATCTAACCCTCGATACCCAAACGCGTAATATAACGCGTAATATAGGATCCATTCTCTTTTCTCTCACTGTGTTGTGTGACAACAAACACTACCTATGCAAAAACAGTGTGTTGGAGTTAATCCCTCCGCCATCTTGGATTCTTTTTTTCCCTTTGTGTAAAACGCCATATTGAAAACCGTTATTTTTGAATCAGATGCAAAATACACATACATGAATCTACGAGATATCTAACCCTAACCCCAAAACCCTAACCCCCGCTAACCCTTACCCCTCGCGCACCTACGCCATATGAATAACTAATTAATCAGAGTGACTCGGACCCAAGCCTCTACGGAATGGCCATACAGACGAACTAAACTACTATTTACAACACGATTGAGTACATATAATAAATGTCCTTGATTTAGTACCGCTATGTAACGCAATACAATGGAGCCTTTTCGCTCCATGAAAGGGTCCGAAACACTAATCATATAAAATGCGCATAGGATTTGTACCGTTGGAGCGCGTTTAGTCAGAGCTGTTAAACAAGGATCAAGGTGGCCATACAAATCTTTTAAAGGCTTCAAACTACCACGAACAACGAATTAGACCTTCTTGAAAACCGGTCTCAAACGACATGCTAAGAAACAGTGCTCGTGTTTGTCCTTAAGAACGATAGAATACGTGACAAATACGTACGAAAAATACTCCTACTTATTCAAGACATATCAAATTCTATCTACCCTTATTTTTTATGAAAGACAAAAAGAAATGGCCCAACCTTTGCGGAATGTTAAGTCAAAATCAGCCGATTTCTGCCGCTTTAACCGCGATATTGAAAATAATTCTACCACAATGCGATGTAATCGGAGTGCGCACACGGCCTGCTCTAATTGTATAAAACCTCTACTTTAATATTTTTGGAAAATTAAGAATACAACATCTGCCATTTTATATAACAATAAAATGCATCGTTAAGGAACATTATACCATAACTGTTGTGATACGTTATTTCGTTAAATCTTCTCCGAAGTATTTGAAAGCTATTCTGGTCACTTCCGCGTCGACAATGATGATTGCAGTACTAGTGTATGTCAAAAAAGGTGAACAACCAAGTGTCAATTTATCGATCCCAAATTACCTTGTTTTTAAATAGCTTGATTATTTGAAAGAATTTCTCAAAAGATCGCCTTCTCACCTGCTCTCTTGACCAAGTCTTTCGGTGCGATCTATCAGATCAAACAAATCATGGTCCTTGGACGTTACCAATATCTCAATAGCATTAGAAACGAGAATAACAAACTGCACGGTTGGCTTGATATCCTTGGTCATGCTGATCGATTAATTTACCTTTTAATATTATTATTATTATTTTTATTATTGTTATTAGTAGTACTATCGTTATTATTGTTGTTTTTATTATTTTTACTATCATTATTATTATCATTATTAACTAGAATTCAAGTAGGGTAATTTCTCGATCAAACGCTCTAAAAAGTCTGAGTTTTCTTAACAATTTAGACACCAAGAAGTTGACCTGAAATTAGCACTTTTCCTTAATCAACGGTGGATTATATATTTCAAAATACCTTTCGTCAGTTGTTGACATGGTACACTGCCTTACACTGAATGATGATAAAGGTCAATCGGTGCTTAGGGAACTGTGGGTAATTATTATCACGTAATCTTGGTCTTGTCACGGAAGAGGAAATTATTTTCACTAGAAGACTTGTGATATAAATACAAATACTAATCTAGCTTTTAGCCATCCTGCGAGCTATAATAGCTGAAATGGAGTTACTTATCGTTTCGTATTACATCTCATTTTTTTGTGTAATTCAATATTCAGGTGAGTGACTGTCTAAAAGGTTTTTATCTCACTTTTATATGATTATGGTAAGCATCACGTAAAAATTGCAGTAGACGAGCAAAGAAGTCATTCGTCGATCGAACATAGTTGTTAGAGCTCCAAAAAAAGCGAAAAAAGTCGCTCTTCGCGTGTGATGCGATCGCATATTCATTGCTATACGATTTTATTTACTAATCTAAATAAGCAAATCATCGCAATACTTAACGAACGGTCAGCAACTAGCTGAACACGAAAACTAATAGTATCGAGTGGCATTTTAATCCAAACTAAATGGAGTTCGTAAGGGTTATGCTTCATAAGTGACCTTGAACCGTTTTAAGGAATTGACTTTAATAGAACCTTAAACCTGGTTCATCGTCGTTTCGCCCGGATTATCCAAAATTTTACGAATGATCAGACACCAAAAATTAATGTATCAGCGCCGTAAATGGTCTTGGTTTGTCGGTTCTACGGTATCCAGTGCAACAAAAGGTATCTAAGAAGATGTTTTTCATCATGCCTATTTCTGAATGCTACAAGTTTGTAAAATAAAGAGTTCCTTCTGAAACGGTGGGTAAAAAATCCTGCGGATTTCATAAACAGTACTTTCTTGTTTCAGCAAATGTTTTCATCTACATCCATTGTTCTTGTTATGCTTCTTGAATCACAACGATTGTCAGCAGTAAAAAAGAGCGAGAAAACGGGTACCCCAGCTTGTTAAATATGCTATTCTAAACAAATTGACGAAGCTCTGATAATTTAATCGCGTAAAGACATAAGAAGCTGCAATTTTCTTTTTTATACTTTGGTTCAAATGTGGAACATCTAGACAACATTCACTTTCATATTAACTAAGCGCCTGGAGGTCAATTAACATAAACATTTCGTGGTTATCACTCAAGCATCTTTCATTCTTGTAGATGTTATGCAAAGCTGCATTGTAGCTAAACGATGATCGTGAACGTTGCTGTTGTCACATGACGTTAAGAAGGATTGCTACTAATACAGAAAAACATTTATTCACCCCAAAACAAGATCCCTATAAAGAAATCTTGAAGTCCAATGAGCGTCGCCGAACGGGAATCGAAAAAAAAGGACTGGACGTTTGGACTTGAACTATTGGACCATTTTATGGATTATCTTTCAGACCATTTATTTTCATTAGTTATTATTAGGGATGGGTGGGTTGGTATATTTCTGTATTTTTTCATGCGAATGCAAAACAGTTATCGTTAGTTAGAATGTAAGTATAAGATGTGAAACATCGTTAGTGAACATATCGCCGGAACGAAAAGGAAATCTGTTATTTGCGAAACGAGAATCGTTTACTTAATCACTTATGTGGATTAAATGAATGCGTCGACTATGTGAAATTTGAAAAATTATTTGGCGCTGTGGCTGTGTTGTTTTAAGGTTTTCACCAATGTACGCAGTCGATGAATAATTCAAATGCGACACAGGACACTTTCCCTGAAGCGTCGTGCATTCTCCATCAGCAGGAGATATAAACACAGGAATATCCAATATCAAAAAGCTCTGATGATGCGATGAAGTTGCACAAAACAATTTTGATTAGTAATGGACAATTATTTCGCGTCTGTCAGTGTTGAGGGAGACTGAGCAGAGATAATTACGATTTCTGGGTGGCTTCATTTCTTACGCACTGATAAATTTTCTATGTAGTTATCAATCTCAACAAAAAGTCATTTGCCTAAGAATATATATTTTACCGAACTTCAGAATCGTTGAGTTGGACTTTGCAACCAGCTAATCCAAAATTGGCAACAAAAGGAGAAGACGAGTCACTCAAGTGGAGGTTCAATCTAACTGCTGATGAACAGACCAAGAGTCAGACATTCTATTTTATCAAGTGGAAAAAATTTAATCAAACAAGTTCAGATTATGATCAGATTGCTACCATGATCTATGTAAGTTTTTTGGGGGCACCTACTTTCGATGAACCCAGAGCCCCAAATATCATGATTGATAGAAAATATCAAGCCACATTACTCATCAACAATGTCCAGACAGAAGATGAAGGAACATACAAGATTGAGTACAGTCTACAATTCGATGGGACTCTTCTTGCTGATCACGAAGTAAATGTTACAGTTTTAGGTAAGCTACAAGCTAGCAAATATCTTCTTAGACACTACTTTTCAGGTAAATATTAAGGGTGATTTAGTTTTATTCACTGAATTGATAATGTAAATTGGCCGCCTGAAAAACTGTATAGAATAGTCAACCTTCCATATGTTTAAAAGCGTGCCAGGAAAGCTGGTTCGGGTTATATGAGGTAGAGACCTAGGCAACAGTAAACTTCTCAGGTCTATTAAACACAAAGCGCACATAGTCTTTTTTTTATGGTCTGACTTGTCTCACTTGGCATTCGAGTTCTTCTTTTTTGAAACGCTCTTGTGAGACAAATTTCCTCTTTTTTAGATGGGGCTCCAATAAGTTAAAAAAAAGACGAGAAATGCTGTTTCAAAGCACATTTATGGAAAGAATAAAAGAGGTAAGTTTCTAAATAAACTGTGGTGCTGCGTCGGTGGGGAGTAATGGGTAATTTGGTTTTATCAATTATGTTCATAATGTAAATTGGCCACCCTAAAGAGTTTAAAAGTCGAATTTTCGAGCGTCAGCCCTCCGTCATTCGCTCTGACGAAAAGCTAACGCTCGAAACGTCAGCTTTAAACACTTTCGGTGGCCAATTTACTTTATTACCTTAGTAGATAACCCAATTTTATTTATGGAAAGGTTTACAATAGGGTTTGACTTCGTTTATCAGACCTATTTTTCTTTACAAGCGTCTAAACATGTCTGAACATGACAGAGATTCGAGAATGAAATTTCTTTTGAATACATTCTAGTGATTATGATCGAAATCGGGTGGAACGAAAACGCTGTGTTGCTTAGCGTATTATAAGGTAGTAAATATGACTTTCTTTGGTGACACAGGAAATTGGCTGTAATTGAGAAATAAACTGAATTACTTAATTTAATTACTTAATTTAAACCGTATTACTTTGAAGAACCTCCTCAGATTGTAACTGCTAGCAAGAAACATGATGTTTGCGAGGGTTCTATGGTTACTTTGAGTTGCAACGCAACTGGTAAACCACCACCCAATATTACTTGGACAAGAGTATGGGAAAATGGTGCTGACAGTAAAGAATCACTGTCCGTGGATGGTTATCTTGTCATACACAACATCACAAGAACCTCCAGTGGGACATACCGCTGTACAGCTTTCAATGGAGTTGGGGATCCTGTTAATCAGACAATGGAGGTGATTGTAGGAAGTAAGTTCATATTCTTATATGTTCTCATTTGTGAAAATCTCTTTAAGGAAGAGATTCTTCATTTATTCGCATCGTTATTCAATCGTGTGATTTCCCTTTTAAAATCAATATTATGATTAAGGTAAAGCTTTTTTCTGGGAAACCACTTTTGATTAATATCTACTACTCTGTTGTCAACACACATCTTATCAAGGATTCTTCATACGATTACAAAATAAAGCAGTTGCCATCAATGATGCTCCTTTACGTGAATCTATCACTCCACAAAATCTAAATTTGCGTTCAATATAATTCTGTGAACTTGTAAAAAATGAATACACGTCTATTCTTGCATGAACATCTATTTGAAAATGAGCTACTCATTAATTTCTAAATAGCTTTGGTATCTGAGCAACACCAGTACTTTACGCGAAGTGGATCCATAGGTGTACTTTTTCTTACAGCCACCTATTCTTAGTATATACCTGTAGAAGGCAATTAAATTTTAGAAGCAGTCTTCTTACCAGCTGAAATCTGTTAGCAAACCCCACAACGGGTAATCATTTAACAAAAGCATGAAATGCAATGGAGGATAATTTAGCTGGCACTATTCAAGTTCTCCTCATTGATTACTCGTGCCTTTTTTTTTCTATCAGATTGTAAGTCTATAGTTTTTCTAATTTCACTGTTTTCTACTAATTTTTTGTTTGCTTTCCTAACGATCTCAATGAACTCTTATGGCCAAGAAATATGAAGGGCAAATGAAATCTGTACAGCTCCATTGTATGAAAGACCTTAGGTAATCAGTTTTATACATGTAGAGTATTGTTTGAATATAACATGGCGGTAAATGCAAGTGCCTTGTACTTTAAACAACTTCCCAATCTTCAACCTTTGCGGGAGCCTTGTTTGCAACAAATTTCTAGTTTATTGCTTTTAGTACTGTTTTGGACCACCAAGATCAACAGAGAACAACAGCTTTTACATGTATTATACCAGACATGTACAAGTGAAGCATGTCAAGCAGTAAGGAATGTTAATTTGCTTTTAATCAATTGGAAACAGAGAGTTCTTTTACAATTATTTGGAAAAGTTGTGAAAATTTGGATCATCCTCGGTGTAAAAACCTGACGAGGTTCTCTTTGTTTCATGAGGTATCGTTTTGCTGTACGCTATTGTTTGTAAAGTTTTGTTGTCTTTGTTTTACGTCACTCGTGAGCTTCACAGGTTTTTACACCGAGGGTGAGCCGAAAATTTACCGGAGTATTGTTTACAATAAGAATTACGAATTATGTATCTCATAAAATCGTTTCTCACAATTTACCCATTGTGCATGTGATCGTTTCAGGAATTTGACAGATTTTCATCACATTAAGTATTTTTTTCTTTGAAAGCACAGATACCTCTCAATCATAACCATATAGATAAATTGGCCTTTTTAAGACATGGTGAAATTTATGAGAAAGAAAAAAATATCTGTTGTAGTATGTTCCAGTCAAGGTGTCCTGTGTAGAATAAAGTTTTAAATACATTGAAAATATGACTTCATGAATAAGGTTTTAAATGAATACATGTGTGAAACCTCTTTACAAGGATAAAAAGGAGATGCCATTTATGAATTTTCAAGCATTAAGAGGAACGGACAAAAAAATTAAACCTACTGCATATCTCCCTGCTGAGATTTTAATCATTGGCTGGTACGCACACACACATACGCACGCACACACACTCACACACACACACACACACACACACACACACACATAGACAGATAAAAATAGGTCCGCAAAGCTTACATGCGTCTGGCCCGGGAATATGTCCTACGTACTTACACTAATGTGAATGGTTGATATATGTATTTCAATTTGTATACTTGAGGAGAGTTCTTTAGAGAGTAGGTTCGATAGTATTAATTCAAGCGCGCCGGGTCCCGATAAAAGTTCTCTGTAAGGGAAGTTCACAGTGAGTTAAGCAGGTTTTTTTTTTTCAGAAATAACAGTATTCTTTGCCAAATTCAACTGTTTGCCAGTCATACCTTAACGTAAACATAACGTGTTAATACGTTATGGTGAACTAACTGTAAACTAACTATCAAGAAACATTACTTTGAATTCCTCGCTGATTCAGTTAACAGCAGTAATTTTGAAAATGAACTAGGTACCAGGACTCATAACAGCTTGATAGTTGCTTGCAGTATGATCCAAAGGATTTCGGTCAAAATTTAACATGAAGATAATGTGCTAACCTCAAATAACATGCAATGAAATTTAAAACTTGGAGTGTACCTAATAGGTAAAGCAGTGCTGCCCAAATGTTATGTATCTTATTAGAACATAAACAATTACAATCCAGCAATGAAACTACAAGTTTATTTGGCTATTCAACAATTACAGATATAGTTCTCCTTAACCCTTTTTGTTTGGTTGGAAACAATTTATTGGTTCATTTATCACTAAAGGTTTTCCTTTGAGGCTTTCTCAATATGGTTATTGAGCTGTAACAAGAGACTCTGAGGGTGAGAGAACACATCCTCCATACATGGGCCTCTTCCCATGATAATCTTTTTCAACCTACTTTTAGCTCGTAGTCAAGCTGCGAGGCTATTTTAGGAAAGACACCTGATTGGTCAATTGTAATGACGCAATGACCGTTTTGCTGTTCTGTTTTGAGAAAATGGTGTCTGTAGTAGACATCAAGTTTGTCGATGAATCTGAAAACTATGATTATGAAGAGAGTGGGAAAAAATTGCCGTCCACTTAGAGAAAACTGGTCCATGCTGTACATAGCTCAAACCGATGAAAGCGATATCGAATCAAAAGGAAGTAGGGATGCGAGCTCTTTTGGGGAAGATGTTGAAATTTCGAGCTTCGAAAATGAGAGCGAGGATAGCGCGAGTGCGAGCGCGAGCTCAGGTGAAAGCTTTGCCTCTGTTGACGAAGACGACGAAAGCGACGAAGAGTAAAAGCCATCAAAGACGGAAAAGAAAAGTAAAATTGCATCGAACAGTTCAACACCAGAAACGCAGTTATGCGCTGAGAACGATGTTATCCTACACAGATTCGGTTGAGCTGCAATTTACCGAATGGAAAAGGTGCGAAGAAATACTGTTAATCACAAAAAGGGAACCATGAAAGTAACAGATGCACACAGAGAAAATTTAAAGAAGGTGCTTGAAATTATTCAGAAAATGAGACGAGACACAACGAAAAGCTTGCCACGAGAAGTCAGCGTCCATTTAAATGAAGGTGGACTCCATTTTATGAAGGAAGAAATGATCGAATTTGTTCGCAAGGCAAATAATCACACTCGAAAGTTTAGTGTTAGCCGGTTTTTCAGACAAAATCTATCTTCCTTTTTGAACGCCGTTTTCGCCAGTGTTTATGGTAGCGAGGAACTGTTTGACAGTTTTGTAAGCTCGCTGAAATCCATTGGGGTTTCTGGTTACGATCAGGCCATCGTTGGAGCAGTGTCTCAAGAACTTTTAAAAGAGCTGTGTCGAACACGTGTGAAATCCTTTATGCAAGGCTTGAGAGAACAGGACCTGGAAATTGACAAGAAGGTGTGTGAAGCTGACAGTCGTCTACGAGATAAGTTGAGAGGATATGTCATAACAAGTAAAAGAAAATAGAGTGCGTTGTAAACAGTATTTCAAATACATGTAACATAGTCTGTTGATTCGTAAAATCATGACATCAGCAGCCTGAGTTTAATTAACACTGTCCATGTCTTTATTTAGTGTCACAAGATATCGTCACTGCCGCATCCTCTCTTGCACAGTTTCATTAATACCAGGAAAAATATTTTCATTATAATGATCAGATTGCATTAAATGTCTGACTTATACATTGACGTGGTAGTGAATACCATAGCTCTATTTTTAATTAACCTATCAAAACACTTGCAGTTGATTAAATACAAGGCAACATAAACTCATCTTGTGCAACTATTCAATTGACAGACACATTAAATGATTTAATGATCTATTTGGAAGTGAATATCATAGCCCTACTTTCAAAACAACCTTTCAAAAACTGCGTGAAAATTATCTTGAAAGGGTTCATAATATTTGTAGGTTTTCATTAAATTGCTATAAAGGCTCCATGCCTTATCTTGGAAACTGCCGATTTAGTGTAATGGAGATGTTTGGCGCAGTTCGAGTTTTTTTTGTGTGTTTTTTTTTCTTTTGGAGTGTTTTATGATTTTTAGATAATCTGGCAAAGTCTCAGCGTTATGCAAAGGTTTAAAGCATGATGTCAGGAGGTTAAGATCTTTTCTCTCCTTATTTGGACGCCATTTAAAAATAAAAAAAAAAGGAAAAATAAACGCCATTCTAGACGACGCATCGAACGAAACTTTCCTAAATGAAGAGGTTGCTGGGGTACTAGGACTGCAAGAGCCTTTCGAAAAAGTTCAAGTTCATGTTCTCAACGACACCATCGAAACTTTTCAGTCCATGCCATTACAAATTGAAATCGAAAGTGTAGTTGGCAGGTTGTGAAAGGAAGTCGGGGTAAAAACATATCCTCAGAAAGTCACAGGTAGTTACCGAGCTGTGAACTGGAACAAACATCAAGATAAATGGCCTCACCTGACCCAGTGCAGTTTTCCCAAGCTCCGAAAATGATGGACTTGTCGATCTTTTGATTGGCATTGATAACGCTGAACTCCATTATTCACATGTTGATCTCCGAGGAAAACTTGGTGGACCTATCTCGCGCCTCGGACCCCTTGGGTGGAGTTGTATAGGTGCGCCTGACGAAAGCGACACCGCGAGGACACGATCCCACGTTATTCGTTCCTTGTTCACTAGAGAGCCAATTTGGAGCGAGAGAAAAGAGTCCTGTTGTGATGTCGACAACAGCTTAAAGAGATTCTGGGAAATTGAGAAGTCTGACACAGACTGCGATGACAGACTCGTACTCACCGAAGAACAAAGACTAGCTTTAAGCAAAGTGAAAGATTCCCTAAAGTACAAAAATGGAAGGTATCGTGTAGCCGTTCCTTGGAAAGAAAACAAACTCGATCTCCCTGACACTAAACCTATGGCACTGTCTCGACTACGAAGCACCGAAAGAAATTTGAAGAACAGCCGTGTCTTCGAAGAATATCAAGCAACCAACCAGGCCTATGTTGGTAAAGGATATTTACGAAAGGTTCCCTCAAACGAACAGCTGCCAGCTAACGTATGGTATTTGCCGCATTTTCCGGTCGTGAGAATGGATAAATCGACAACAAAAGTGCGAATCTTATTTGACTGTGCCGCTAAATGTAATGGTACTTCCTTAAATGACATGATTCATCCTGGGCCGAAATTACTACAAGATTTTTTCAAAGTCCTCTTCCGTTTCCGTCGAAACCCTGTTGGCATCGCCTGCGACATCAAAGAAATGTA